TCCCCTCTTGGCCTCTAACCGCCTCTTACCTCAGCCCTGCCATCATGGCTTTGTACAGAAGAATGTCTGGAAGGTCTCCTGGAAGGTCTCCCAGTCTAATTAGGATATTACCTTTTTATTAGTATAGAGGCCTGGTGCACAGGTGGGGGCCGGCTGGTTTGCCATGAAGGGTGTCCTGGATCAGGGTGAGAGTTTCCTTGGGACATGGGGCAACCTAGGCAAGGGGCCTGTTGTGGTTTGTAGGCTGGCCACACCCACATGGGGTGAGGGTCCCCACTGGGGGCACGTGGCCAGCCTGGGTGAGGGGGCTGAGGGCTGTTTTCAAGCTGGCCACACCCCCTTCAGGGTGGGGTCCCCACTGGGGTGCCTGACCAGCCTGGGTAAGGGGCTGATGGCTGTTTGAAGGCTGGCCACACCCCCTTCAGGGTGGGGGGTTCTGCTGGGGTGCCTTGCCAGTCTAGATGAGGGGCTGAGGGCTGTTTTCAAGCTGGCCACACCCTTTTCAAGGTGGGGGTCCCCACTGGGGTGCCTGGCCAGCTTGGGTGAGGGGTTGATGGCTGCTTGCAGGCTGGCCAAGCCCCCCAGTGGGGACCCTCACCTCATGGGGGTGTGGCCAGCTTGGGTGAGGGGCTGAGGGCCATTTTAAGGCTGGCCACACCCCCTTCAGGGTGGGGGTTCGCGCTGGGGTGCCTGGCTAGCCTGAGTGAGTGGTTTATGGCTGTTTGCTGGCTGGCCACAGCCCCAGGCAACCCAGGTTCCCAGCCCCTCCTTCATTGGAGTCCACAGCAACTGGAAGCAGATATCTGGGATTTATTTATCCTCTATAATTGAAACTTTGTAGCCTTGAGCAGAGCCCACAGCTGGCCAGGGCAGGCGGGAAGCTTGGCTTCCTCCATTGCCAGGGACAATCCAAGCCTCCTGTTCTCTCCAGCTCCGTGGCCGCCACCATCTTTGTTGGGTTTCTTTGCATACTTGCTCCTGATTGGCTTGTGGGCATGGATTGTTGGTGTAGCAGAGGTACAGTCAATTTGCATGTTTCTCTTTTATTAGACATTTTAATTTTTATATTATACACATTAATTTTACGTAAGTTTAGAAAAGTATAAATTTAAAAATAAATATTTAAATTTTAAAAATAGAAAACAATTATAATTATAATGCCATCATCAAGAAATGGTCAGTGTTGGGATTTCAAGATGGCAGTGGAGTAAGTGGATCTTTTTTGCATCTCTTCTTAAAACCGAACAGGAAATAAAACTAAATTGAGGAACATTCACACTGAATTACCTACTGAAGACTAGCTTAAGAGGAGACTTTTAATAAGGAAGGGCAGAAACCATCTCAAGACTAGTAAGAATAGTGGAGTCATGAGCAGGGCTGGCCCAGCTCACATGGATGGCAGGCCAAGGGTGAGGAGGGATATTTTGGCTGTGGGGGGTTTTCCCTGAGAGTAGTGAGGCCTGGATCCTAGGATGAGGTCCCCTTCCCAGAGGACCAGAGCTGAGAACAAGGGCTCACATATCATCCAGCCATGAAAGGCAGTGGGGCTTCTAATCACCAGGAAGAGTTGGAGCCTGTCATAATTAAAGCCACTTAAAAAGAAACAAAACAAAAAACCCCAGAGCACAGGGTTTTCATTTGCAGCCACTCACCTGAGTCTTTGGTGGAAGGAGGACGGTGTGAACAAGAATTGCCCAAGGAAAGGCTAGGATAAGAAGCATTGAGAAAAGACTGGAAAAGTAGCAGCTGGGAGACCTGTGATGGGTCACCTGCCTTCCATATTGCAGCAACCATTTTCCCGGAGAGGCACAAGCCCCTCCCAGCAGCAACAGGCTGGGAAAGGCAAATATGCTGCCCTCAGGGATATAGCTCGCTCCACGCTCAGGAATCAGGTGATGCCCTGCTGAGGAGACAGTATCAGAGGCCAAGCCTATGGGTTTGAACAGTCTTAGAGAGAGGGTTATCAGTGACTGGCTTTGAAGTGGGACCACAGCCCCTACCCCCGTCCTGGGAACCTGATTGGTACTTCTGCCTCAAGAGAGACCTTATAGAAACTCCTGGTTTACAACAGACCCCACTGGACTACATAAGAGGGGCTCCACCCTCCCAAGATTAGGGAAATATTCCAGGACAGACTCAGATGTATGGCTCTGTGACAGGGGACAGACTCACCATCTTCTCTAAAATCTGAATGGCATCTATCCCCCACAGGAGACTCAGAGGTCCATCCCACCCTCCAGATTCTACCTAAAGAGCTTTCGGAAAGAGTGTTTATAAGTAACTAAGTCTTCCTGCTGGTAGAGACAGGGAGAGGTGGAACCGGAGATGCCTTGAAACTTTTTCTGACCCCAACCTGGGCACTGAGCTGCTAGTGAGTTGAACTTAGAGCACAGTTTTGCCCCTCCTGCACACAGGCAGTCAGGAACTGTGGATTGCTTGAAGTTTCAAACAGGTTGCTGAGAGCCAAAATGGACAGCTTCTGACAGTGGATAGCACAAAAAGACCTCCAGAAATGCCAGGAAATGGCAGTCAAAACAATCTGTCTCAGTTAACATAAGAGCAGGATCCAAAGGGAGCTCCCAGGAGGCACTAAATTCTGCCCAAACTCTACTTCATTTTTTCTTTTTGCATTATTTTATTGCTTTGTTACTATTTTCGTCTCTTTTTTTCTCTCATGTCTCTTGTTTTTCCACTTTTCTTACTGTATTATTTTTCTTTTCTTTTTTAATTTTTTTATTATTTTCCATTTCTTGTTTCTCTTCTTTAATCCAATTAAGAATTCTTTCCTCCTCTTTTCTTTTCACTATTTTTTATTTCTTATACTTTATTCTTACTTTTCCTCTCCCTTTTTTCTTTCATATTCCTTTACCATCCCTTTTATTTCTTCTAATATTTTTTTTTTCTTTTTGTTTCTTATGATTGTTCTCTTTGCTAATTTCCTTTTCTTTTGTGGTTGGGATATTTTGTATGTTTTTATTTTTGTTTTGTTTTATTTTGCTATGTTTTGTTTCATTTGTCAATATGTGCACACTCACATGATGTTGTCAGGATTTAACCTCACAGCCAGTCAGAGGGGAGATTCCAACCACACATTGTACAACAACAATCAAGACCCAATTACAATAGGAGAGCCCAAATAACCCACACAAGGGACATTCCTAGATTATCCAGCTCAGGAGATCCATGTGACTGCACCACTGGGTCCCACAGGACACTTATTACATAAGAGCACCCACAAAGACTGGGAGGCATAACAGTTCTATCTAATATGTAGAAACAAACACAAAAGAACAGCAAAAAAAGGGGGGGGAGGGAGGAAAGTAAACAACCATTAAATGAAAGAAAAGGGGAAAATTCCAGAAAAAAAAGTGAAATGAATTGGAGGAAAGCAACTTATCAGAAACAGAGTTCAAAGTAATGGTTATAAGGATGCTTAAGAAACTTGGTGAGAATTATAAGGAACTAACTGGGAACTACAACAACATGAAAGAGAAAATAGAAACCATGAAGAAGAACTAGTCAGGCCCTTAGTGTGGCTTAGTTGGTTGTTGGTTCAATATCCTGTCAGGGCACATAACCAGGTTGTCTATTCAACATATGGGATATGCAGGAGGCAGGCGATTGATCTACTGTTCTCACATTGATGTTTCTTTTTCTCTCTCTCCATTCCTCTCCCTCCAAAAATCAATATAAATATTCAGAGGAGAAGGCCTGTAGTGGGTTGGGAACTGGTGGAAGGGGACAAAGGAGGGGAAATGGGGAATACCTGTATTACTCTCAACAATAAAATACATAAACTAAGAATGTATATTTTAAAAAATAACCAGTCAGAAATGAAAAAAACACACAACATATCTGACATCATGAATACACTGCAGCCCTTGCTGGTTTGGCTCAGTGGATAGAGTGTCAGCCTACTGACTGAAGGGTCTGAGGTTCAATTCCAGTCAAGGCCATGTACCTCAGTTGTAGGCTCAATCCCAGGCTCTGGGCTTTGTGCAGTAGGCAACCAATTGATGTGGTTCTCTCACATCGATATTTCTCTCTCTATCTCTCTCCTGCCCTTTCACTCTCTCTAAAAAGAGTCAATGGTACACTGCAAGGAATCAAAAATAGATTGAATGAGGCAGAGGATTGAATCAGTGATTTGGAAGACTAGGTTAAGAAAGCAACCACACTCAGAGCATCAAAAAGAAAAAATTAAAAGCAGGAGGATAGTTTAAGGAAGCTTTTGGACTACATAAAACATAGCAATATCCAAATCACAGTGGTGCTAGAGGAGAATAAAGGGAGCAAGGAGTAGAAAACCTGTTTAAATAAATAATGACAAAAAATTCCCTATACTGGTGAAGGAAAAGTCACATAAGTCCAGGAAGTACAGATAGTCCCAATTAAGATGAATCCAAAGAAACCCACTCCAAGACACATTCTAATTAAAAGGACAAACATTAAAGACAAAGAAAGAATCTTAAAGGTAGCAAGAGAGAGACAGAAAATTACTATCAAGGGAGTTCCCATTAGACTGTCAGTTGATATCTCAACAGAAACACTTCAGGCTAGAAGGGATTGGCATGAAATATTCAAAGTAATGAAAAGCAAAGACCTGAACCCAAGACTACTTTATCCAGCAAGGCTATCCTTTAAAAATGAAGGTGAAATAAAGAGGTTCCCAGACAAAATGAGGCTAAAGGAATATATTATCACCCAATCAACATTGAAAGAAATGTTAAAGGGACTGCTTTAAGAAGAAAAACAAATGTAGAGAGAGAAAATTATAAGAATAAATAAATAAATAAGTACCCATCAATAATAACCTTAAATGTAAATGGACTTAATGTTCTAATGAAAAGACATAGGTTAGCTGAATGGGTAAGAAAACAAGGTGAGACCAACCTCAGAAAATAGATTCACACAGATTGAAAGTGAAGGGATGGGGAAGTGACAAGAGGCTGGGTTCAGCATGTATGTGCGTCCTGCTGGGGGATGGTACAGATGGCAGGATGTCATGGTCTGGCCTCCGGGGCCTCAACATAGCCCTGAGTTATGGCCTACCCCTGATCCCCTGGCTCTGGGCCACCTCCCTCATAGCCACCCTGAATCAGATGCACTGTCTAGGGCAGCCGTGGGCAAACTACAGCCCGCGGGCCAGATCCGGCCCGTTTGAAATGAATAAAACTAAAAAAAAAAAAAAAAAAGACCATACCCTTTTATGTAATGATGTTTACTTTGAATTTATATTAGTTCACACAAACACTTCATCCATGCTTTTGTTCCGGCCCTCCGGTCCAGTTTAAGAACCCATTGTGGCCCTCGAGTCAAAAAGTTTGCCCACCCCTGGTCTAGGGCCTCCAAAGTGGCCACTTCCAAAGCTGGACCCCACAAAAGGCCAGCCACAGCTGAAGGGTGTGGTTCTGCGCACATTCATTTGTAAACCCAAGAAGCCCAACTCAGCCAACTGCAAGTGCTGCTGCATTCAGCTCAGCACAGGCTGTGAGGCCATCTGCTTTATCTCAGCAGAGGGCCACAGCCTGCAAGAGCAGCATGTTGTGCTTGTGCAAGGTGGGTGCACCCAGGACCTGCCTGGTGTCAAGCTCAAGGTTGTGCATGGCGAGTATGACTGTGGCCATGTACAGAAGAAGAAGTGACCGTCAGGGGCACGGTGGGTTGTGTTTTATGTAGAATAAGAACCTTTGTCTCTGGGTTCCTGCAGTGTTCTTGGGAAGCTAGGCTAGTTCTAGAAGCAGCTGGCCCTGGTTCAAATCCACCAATAGCCCATAGGGGTCCTGGGTGTGAATTAGTGTAGAGTGTTGGTGCAAGAGGCTTCTTCTGCTGGAACAGTACACTATTGCCATCTGATGAGAAGGGGTTGCAATAAACACACACACAGAAAACACACACACACAGACACACAAAAAAACACACCAAAAAACAACAACAACAAAAAAAAACCAGAAAGTGAAGGGATGGAAAAAAATATTCCATGCAAATAAAACACACAAAGAAGCATGAAAAGCTAGAGGAGCAACACTCCTATCTGACAAAATTTACTTCAAAACAAGTCAAAAAAGAGACAAATAAGTTCACTTCATAGTACTAAAGAGATGGATCTAATAAGAATGTATAACCCTGATCCACTGAGCCAAACTGGCTAGGGCAGATTTCTAACATTAAAAAACACACGTCTTGAGAGATTAAAAATGGCGGCAGAGTGAGTGGATACTGCATGGACACGCTTCCAAGAAAAAACTGGAATTACAACTAAAATACAGATAAAACTTCCTGAATAATCCAGGGAAGACTCACTGGAGAGAACCTTGATACTTGAGGACTGAAAGTGAAGACCAAATAGAAACTGATAGGAGGGGCAGAGGCATGAAAGGGTTGCAGGGTGCCCACAGACAGCAACTGAAGTTCTGAAGAGCTATCTCAGCTGCAGGGGGTTGCCACTGAGAATTCTGGGGTGTAATCCCCAAGCTTGGCCCCCCAGCAGAGAGCACCAGAACTGAGAAGGGTACTCACATAACATCTGGCTGTGAAAAGCAGCAGTGTCAGGAAGTGATCACTGAAAATTCAGCCACCCTTGTAAAAGGCCAACAAACAAAATTCTCTGTGGAGCCACCCACCTTGTGCTCCAGCAGAGGGAGGACAAGAGCGGACAGGAGCTGTGTGAGCAGAAGCCAGATTTGGGGATGCAGGGGTTAGAGCTCAGAAGTCTGACATCTCCAGTTTCTGTGCTGAGTCATTCCCTCACACAGTGGAGGACATCTTTCCCACACCAACATATGCCTTGCCTGAGGGGAAGACAGTTGACCTACCCTATTGCCCTGAGGCCACTTAAGAGACTAAAAATATTAATTAGCCTTCAGGCAGAAGCAACTGCCACACCCTGTTGAAAAAACCTCTTGCCACATCTTAGAAAATTGGCTGGGGCAATTCCAGTTGGAATCCTATCAGTCTGTAGGAAGAGGCGGTCTCTGGAGGATTTGAGTCTTTGCCTGATATAGTCAGAAACAGTGTTTGACTAGTGACTGAGAGGTGTAGACTATAGAGGATCTATCTAATACATAGCAAACTGTAGAGAATCTAGCTAATACATAGTCAAAACCCCAAACAGACAGCCAAAATGAGGAGACAAAGAAACAGTCCCAAAATGAAATAACAAGAAAATTCTCCAGAAGAAGAGATAAGTGAAACAGAGATAAGAAATTTATCTGAAACAGAGTTCAGAGTAATGATGGTAAAGATGCTTAACAGCATGAGAAAAGATATGGTGACTACGAAAAAAGAACAGTAATAAATAAAGAATGATACAGCAAAAATAAAGAACACAATGGAAGGAATACACAGCAGATTAGGGGAAGCTGAGGATCAAATCAGTGAACTAGAAGACAGCATTGAAAAAAAAAATCACTCAATCAGAGAAACAAACAAACAAAAAACAAAACAAAAAAGATGAGGACAGCTTAAGGGAGCTATGGGAAAATGTGAAATGTAACAATATTAGAATAGCAGGTGTGCCAGAAGGAGCAGAAAGAAAAGGATAGAGAATGGGTTTGAAGAAATAATGGCAGAAAATTTTCCTAACCTGGTAAAGGAAAAAAATCACACAAGTTCAGAGTCACAGAGAAACCCTAGCTAGAAGAGCCCAAACAGGCCCATGTCCAGACACATCACAATTAAAATGCCAAAAATTAAAGACAAAGAAAAAATCTTAAAGGAAACAAGAGAAAAGAAAACTGTTACCTACAAAGACGCTCCCCTAAAGCTGATACCTAATTTCTCATCAGACAATCTACAGGCCAGAAAGGAATGGCATGAAGTATTCAAAAGGATCTGAAACCAAGATTACTATATCCAGCAAGGTTATCATTCAAAATAGATGGTCAAATCAAGAGCATCCCATACAAAAAAAAAAAAGAAAAGGCTAGAGGAGTACATCACCACCAAACCAGCATTACAAGGAATGCTAAAGGGACTGCTGTAATGAGAAGAAGAAACAGAGAGAGAAACCTAGGCATACAGAATTAAAATGGCAATAAATAAATACCTATCAATAATAACCTTAATTATAAATGGATTAAATAATCCAATCAAAACACATAGGGTAGCTGAATGGATACAAAACATGACCTAATTATAGGCTGTCTCAAGAGACCCACCCTAGAACAAAAAACACACATAGGATGAGAGTGAAGGGATGGAAAAAAAAAAATTGTCCATGCAAATGGAAAAGAAAAAAAAAAAAGCTGGTATAGCAATACTCACATCAGACAAAATAGACTTCAAAATGAAAGCCATCACAAGAGACAAGAAAGGTCACTACATAACACTAAAGGGGTTGATCCAACAAGAGGGTATAACCCTGGTAAACATATATGCACCCAATATAGGGGCACCTAAATATATAAAAAAACTTATAGAGGACTTCAATGGAGAAATCAACAACAATACAGTCATAGTAGGGGACTTTAACACCCCACTGACTTCACTGGATAGATCTTCTAGACAAAAACTTAACAAGGAAACATTGACTCAAAAGGACACACTGGATCAGATGGATTTAATTTACACTTACAGAACATTTTACCCCAATGCAGCAGAATATACATTTTTCTCAAGTGCACATGGATCATTCACAAAGATAGACCACATGTTAGGACACAAAACAAGTCTCCACAAGGTAAAGAAGATTGAAATCATATCAAGCATCTTCTCAGACCACAGTGTAATGAAATTAGAAATCAACTACAGTAAAAAACAAAAACAACAACAACAAAAAAACCCAAAACAATCAAACAAATGGAAGCTAAATAGCATGCTATTAAACAATGAGTTACCAACAAGATCAAGAAAGAAATAAAAAACTTCCTGGGAACAAATGAAAATGAACACATAACAACCCCAAATCTCTAGGACAGAGCAATCGCAGTCCTGAGAGGGAAGTTCATAGCACTACAGGCCTACCTCAAAAAACAAAAAAAAAGAAAATAGAAAAACAAGAAAAATCAGCAATAAAGTATTTAATCCTACAGCATAAAGAACTAGAAAGAGACCACAGACACTTTGGGGTGGCCAGCACGGGCACAGAAACCACGCCATCTTGAAAAACAGGACTGCTTGTGACTAGGATACTAGCCTCACCACCACCCAATCTGGTCTCAGATGCAAGCCGGGACCCTACAACCGTTTGGAACAAAGACCTGCAGACTCATGGACTCCAAGACTCCAGACATCCCGGCTGCAGATTACTGTGAGTCACAGAGTGAACCCCCCTTCCTGCAGGCAGCTGCGGAGGCATAGGACCTGACAGACCTGCTCAGCATGAGCAGGTTTCTTGCCAACACAGGGCAGCTGTGCAACTTAACTTTGACTCTGGGCATGTGGACTCTGGGAGTCTGTTTCCCAGGGCACAGGAGTGGGCCTCCTGTGGACACAGGGTGACTGTGTAACCTGCCCCATCAAGCAGACTGGGAACCCTGATTCTCCACATCAAAGGCAGCACTGGGAACCAGTGATTTGACTCTTGGTGTGCACACATGTGGATTTTGTTTCTCATCCTGCGAGCACGTGATACCTAATTCTCAGTGCATGTACACTTAGCGTCTGTGACTTGGCACATGCCCAACAGGGACCCTGAATCACAGTGTGAGGCCTCACCAAGTGACAGAGACTCTGATACTTGATTCTTGGCATGTGCACGTGGGGTCTCTGACTCCTGGCATGAGTTAGAGGACTCTGATTTTTGGTGTAAGCCCATGGGGACTTTTTTCAGCACTGTGCAAGCGGAATCCCTGATTTCATGTGCACACATGAGGCTGCACTGAACACTGGTGACTCTGATTTTTGGTGTGTCTGGCTCCCACTGACCCACAGCAGCCACACGTCTCGATGTCAGAGATCTTCAGTGACACTTGGGTGTTGCCATGCTACCACTGCACACGGCTCAGGCCCAAACAACTCTGTGTTTGGACCTTCTGGTGATAGTAAGAATGGGGAAAAAACAAAACATTCCCCAGAGGAAAGAAAAAGAGGACTTGCCAAGAAATGAAATAAGTGAAACTGAGGCAGAACTGTCATGCAACATGACAGAAAAAGAATTTAGAGTAATGGTCATATAGTTCATAAACTGGATGGATGAGAAAATCAACACCTATGCAAAAATCAGGAAGAAAACAAAAGTGATATAGCTACAATCAAAAACACTATTGGCCCTAACTGGTTTGGCTCAGTGGATAGAGCATCAGCTAGTGGACTAAAGGGTCCCAGGTTCGATTCTGGTCAAGGGCATGTACCTTGGTTGCAGGCACATCCCCAGCAGGGGGTGTTCAGGAGGCGGGTGAGCAGGAGGCAGCTGATCGACGAGAGAGAAACACTATTGTGTTTCTCTCTCATCGATGTTTCTAACTCTCAACACTCTCCCTTCCTCTCTGTAAAAAAATCAATAAATTATATTTAAAAAATAAAACACTATTGAAGGTTTCAACAGTAGACTAGAAGAAGCAGAGGACTGAATTAGAGAGTTAGAAGATAAGGTAGAGAAACAAGCCCAATCTGAACACCAACTGGAGAAAACAATTCAAAAGCAAGAGGAGAGCCTAAGGGAGCTCTGGGGCAACACGAAACAAAGTAATATATGTATAATAAG